GATTACATTATCACATGAGCTACTGCTTAGGAGGTCTAATTTTCAATTGTTAAGAGTTAATTATACTATTTATATTTTAAAGATTTAGTTACCTGTTTTCTGTTTGCATTCCACACACATTTCTGCATCATTATTGTCTCTAATTATTGTTTTTTTTTCTTTAATAAGATGTTCTGTCCATAATGACATTTCATCCTGATCAACTGAAGTAGAGTTAAATATGTGTCAAAAGCTTCAATAGACATGAAGAACAAAAAAACAAAACAAAAACATAACTACAGAAATTGCGTTTCCTGCAAAAATGCAGTGTAAATGCATGTGTTTGAATAATTTAGCTGAAAGAAGTTGAAGAAGCAGAAATATTTATTTAAACTAAACTAAACTAAACTAAACCAAACTAAACTAAACTTGGTTTGTATGTTGTATGCGTCATTTAGTAAAAAAGTATGTACCGGTTATGACCAACTAAAAATGCTTTCTTTGTCTACATAGAAAACATTTTATTCCAAAGTCTGTTTTTTTTCAATAATAATGGGTGTGTGAGTAGGCGATATTACTCATAATTGCTCATTCCATTCAGTAATACCACTCAAAGTCATAAATTGATTTTGATCGAACAATGCGGTCACTTTCCCACCCACACTTTAGTAAAGGTGAGAAACAGTTACACACTACTGGTGGTTGGTAAACTAATTGCATATAATATTTGTTGACCACAATAATTGAAATTATGCAATAAAAATGAAGAATTTAACTTGCATTAATTAGAAGGAATTCCTTGTCATTTTTGGGGTGTGGTTTAAAAAAAATAAAGTCAATATTGTAGTTGGAGAAGCCAATTGTTGACTTTCAGCTTTGAGGGATTTTTTTTTGAAAAGGCTGAAATAATCTTTAAAAACAAGACAGGACTGAAAGACTGAAAGGGAAAGCAATTTTGAGCTAAAAGACAAATCCACTTCCTGCGACAATGGTGAAAAAATGCACCTATAGAACCCTCAGAGAATGAAGAGATGTGAAAGTGTTTAGTGTGAGAATTGAAGGAGGAATGAGAGGGAAAAAAGGAGGGGTGGGGGGGCTTTGTGCAGAAGTGAAAAAAAATATCAATGCATGTGAGTTACGTGCATGGATCTGCATAAATGTGCAGAGGAAAGAAGGAGTGGGTGTGTTCTCTTGGAGACAGTGGGGATGGCTCATTAGGAAATCATACCTCTTAGCCAATGGTTTTTAAGAGAGAGGCAGATGTCATTTGACTGAGATGTACCACCTCCCAGAGCCAGCACATCCCCTTCAGTGTATCGGTGCGCTGTGTGAGAGCATCACTGCTCTCTCCTCTCCGGTTCTCGTTCGGGCATCCACAGGCACTGCTTCCCTCGCCTCCTCGCTTCGCTGTCCCTCCCACCTCCTCCCTCTTCCTCTGTGATTCTGCCCCACAGGGAGAGATAGGATCTGTTACAGACAGCGCCAGGTTCACCCAGGAGCCCAGGTAAGTCCTCTCTCTATTCACTTCAAACTGAGGGTCTAACAGTGGAAAATAAAACAAAAAACAAAACAAAAAACTGTGATTGCTTGCTTTTCAGGCTGCATAAATTGATTTCTCTACATTTGTAGTTTCTCCTCGCTCTGTTCGCCGTGATGAATTTGAAGCGGAGCCTCTGACTCTTTCAAAAAAGGAAAGGGAACAGTGGGTGCCAACTTATTTCGTATCATTGTGAGAGACCGCACATTTAATTTGATCAGAGTTGCTTTTTCTAAGTTGTGACACCAACAGCTTCAGATGTTTCCACTTTCTGACTGAAGGTGAGGCGTTTCTGCCAAAGCTTGTCAGGTTATACCTTCAGCTGTGAAAGCAGAGATGGGGGCAAGAAAGAGTGATCGGGAGAAGGCGTTTCTTTCAGCGGTCAAAGCCGGTGGTAGAAAGTGATTGAAGAGTTGCAGAAGCATGAGCTGAAGAGGTCACACATCAGCAGGTGACAAGCGGACTCTCTATCGATCTGAAGCATGGCATCCTCCCAGAACTGAGCTGAAGCTGGAGCCACAGAGGCTCATCTGAGARATTTTGTTTTATACTATTATCAGTCTTTTGCATTTTGGTTTGTTCTCATCTCCAGACCCTCTGTGAGTCAAAGCAACTCGAATGAGTGAATAAATGTTTAATTATACTGACTAATTACCACAAGCTGTGAATCTGTGCGCACAGAAAACAGTGAAAAAAACACTTTTATTAGATCTGGATTACTCCTTGCTGAAGGAAGAAAATGTGGGGCCGTTGCACAGGTTATGTGATTATTTACAGTTATAGATATTTAGCGCTTATTAAATCAACTCCTTTTCAAAACGGCAAGCTTTTTAAACGTAAATTATTTGTAAATTTGCTACGATTTCTTTGTTCGGTCCTCACTTAGAATATTTACAATTGACTCGGGGATTTCCCACGAGCAACGCTCSATCCTTTGAAGTTTAAATAAACAAAAAGGACAATGAAATGTTTCATCCTAAAYTCAACAACAAGCACATTACTGTCACTTAGATCATGTCTCTCGGTGGTTTTGACAACTTTATTGAGGCTTTGCGAGCTGGCTTTTACTCCCGTGATTGATGTTTAATTATTGCCGAGTTGAAAGGTGGCCTGTGCTGATAAGTAATCTTTGAAGTTCATCTTTAGCTAACATTTTCTCAAGGACCAATGCCCCATCGGCCACGTCTGTGGTATAAGAATAATCGTGGCGCTGATGAATTTAAATGAAATCTGAAAATAGCTCTGAGCAAAGTTGTGTTAGGTCTCATAAGTAATACAGCGGTGTGCTTATATTTCATTCATGACATAGTTTGCAGTACTCTCTTGGGCTGGGAAGAGAAAGGAGAGAAATGGCTTTGTGATGTGAAAAGACACTGGTTGTTGAGGTGAGAGAACATCCACTGCAGTGGGAATATTCACAGAGCAGGGGCTGAAACTGCACTTTAATGGGGAGGACACACGCAGGAAAAACTTTCTCATTTTACCAGATAAGCAGTGGCTCGCAGCTGCCGAGTCACAGTGTTGCAGTTTTGAGGGATTTGTGCCATTTAGCAGGCACTGCAACACTCTCAACACTGAAAAAAGAAAAAGAAAAAGCAATGATGTGGGATTTCCAGCCATTATTAACAACACATTTTTTACTTTGAGCTGTAGAAAACATCAGCTTGGAGAAGTATTGCTTCAGTCGTGCTGTGCAGTGTATATATTGCAGGAGATGCGGTGTATAATTTCTTGATATAAAACAAAGCATGATCTTATCTGGAGCAAAACAACAACAAAAAAAAAAAAGAAGCTGCCTCAGCTACTTGCCAGACAGAGTCTCTGTCATTAACCCAGCGCTCCGCCAGAGACCTGCAAAAATATCCGCAATTTGAGGAAATTAGAGTCGGAGGAACGGGAGACCCGGCGCCTTTTCTGTCCACCGAGGGTTCGGCGCTGACAGCCACACTCCGTCTTTCTTTTTTCCGCTTGCTTGTGAGCTGCCCCAGGTGTGACAGGCAGCCGGAGTAATGGGCGACGTTTGACAGATGCATATTTCCAGCCTTGAAAGGTCCGTATAAAGAAGATAGACGGCACGGATTCCCACTGAGCGTGGGACAAACTGTTGGGCTGTAAATCACCTCAATGAGTGTGCCACCTTCCCCTTCGATTGATCCGTCACGTGACTCCTGCGACCCTTCCAACGTGCTAATTGCATCCCAACCTGATTATTGATTGCTATATAAGCGAGAGGGGTATATTGGATAGAAGGCGGCTGGCTCTGTCACACTCAGTGAGGCAGGTGGTCGAGTTACTGGCAGCGTGACCCTGCTAGTATGAGTAATCAGTGATTTGATTTCAGAAAATGAATATTTTGGACCAGGAGCACGGCTTGTCTGAAGGATGTGTGTGTTGGACCAATATTGAAGGCTTTTTGTGGAAATTAATCTTTTATAAGGTTATCAGGGCACCTAACCCAGAGCCAAAGCAAAAGGATTACATTACGTTTGTACAGTAGAGTGCAGTGTTTCTTGGCAAATAGACTCCATCTGACAGTCAGCTTGTTCATAAAAAAACGCCGATGAAGGATGGGCTCTTCATAACCCCATCTAGACCTCAGCAGCGTTTAAAATATTAGTATAAATTTACTCTATAGATGTGATTCCGGTGCATATATCCTCCTTATTCTCTGAGATCGATGCTTCTTTCATCGCTCGATGAAAGGGTGGTAAAATCATTTCTACTMTTTAGCTGGTGTAAGACATCATGTCATGTTCCTGTGTTGGGATGTTGTTATTTAAAAAAATAAAGCTGCCAAAGGTGGAATCACATGGGATCTTTTAATTATTTTTTTTTCTTGGGCAGTTCAATCAATAGCTGTAGAGGTACGAAACAGGGCAAACGAGAAAAAGCATGCTYAAAACTAAGCTTGAACTCATCAAATCATGCAGACTATAGGCTCAGTTTACAATTTTACACATCATGTGAGAATTATTTTAAATAATTTATCACATATAGCATGGAGAAATGTGTGAAGCTTAAAGAACGTGCTACATTTTGTTTGTTAGACTTATCTTCATCTCGCTCTAATCCCTTTTTTATGTTATTGTGCCTCTTGTYGCTGATGCGTGTTGATTTTCCTGTAATCATATAATCAGAGGAATCATTTACACATCACCCACTCGATCTGCCACACATGTAACTGCGGCTGYGGAAACCTCCCCAAACTGGCTGATCCTGCAGCATTCAAAAAGTCTGTTTAAAAGAAATGCAACAGAACCAAAGAAAGTTAGAGCCACACGGAGTCTAACTGGTTCTAAATCCCAATAACAATCAGTATAATTTAAGTCACGCCAAGTTAGTGCAAATCACTTGCTCAAGAAGTGGAAAAGGAAACAGGAATGATGTTTTCTTTTAAAACAGAATCTATTATTCATTGCCAATAACATGTTATAAATTATTGTTAGGCTTTTACAAAAGTAGCGACATGAAATTTTAAAGAGAAAGATACTTTTTCAATCTCATTCTCTTTATTTTATTGCAACTTGAATGTCAATAATTTATGACAAGTTTATCATTTTGCAAATCTAGTTGCTAAAAGCTTAAATTAACTTTGTTTTTATAAACATTACTGAAAAAGATTTAGAACTCCTTGGTTATAACTATTGAAAAAACCTTTATTTTCTCCTTCTAGTGTAAGAGTTTATAAGCCTGCTTTTTAACTACTTCTTTGCATTCCTGGGKAAAGCTTTTGCATTGAAAATATGTATCATTTTTGCAAATCCTTATGGTACAAATCCTTTTTTCAAATTTACATCATGACTCCAACGTTCTGTGAAACAAACTCTTTGTTTTACRACAAATTTAATTGTGCAGTTGGTCTCGACGCGTGAACAGGTGTTCTCGGTTACAAAAAGCMTTTTTAACAACTGTTTTTGTTGTAGAAAAGGTTTTGATGTGGAGAGAAAAAGAAAAAAAAAAYACASYAGGGCCAAATGTTAAGTGCACACATATTTACCACTAAGGGCCATCTGTATAATTGTATGTCTTTATCCTGATAAAATGCAACAAAAGAGGAAAGCAAGTAGGATGCTATTTAGAAAATGGCATTTCTTTGTAATAGGGTGAGATTCATCTGATAAACATTAAAAAGGGCTGGTTGTTGTGATTATGGAGTATGTCAAATGATGCAGAACTCACAAAAACACTTAAATGTCAAATWACTTCACTCATCCTACATTGTGTATGTCTTCGGTCTGATTTTCTAAAAGTTATAGAAAATGTTTCAAACTAAAAAAGATGAGATCTGTAACATAAACACAATTGAACCTGAATGGATGCTTTCTTATTTTGCTTCAATAAACTCATTGCAATGCCACGAAGACCTGTCCAAGGTAATTTTCTCATGTCCATGGTTTATGTCTTGTGAACAGCTGCCAGTTCCACGAGCTTGTTTACGTATATTCAGAAACATCCAAACTGACTGAAAATAGGTCAACAATCGCAACATCCATTGAAGAGATGGACTGAGAAGTCAGATAGTTATGATGTTGGTCCATATTTACAGTCAGGTTTCTTTAATAAAGTATAAAGTATGCCGATAAGCTTCTCCATGGATTCAGCCGAGAGCTTTTGTTAACACAGAATCTGGACTCACATTTCTGAATTTCTTATCATTATATCTAGAAGACTACTGAAATACAATCTTTCAATCTGTACCATTTAAATTTTAGTTTAATCTTCTCAGTGTTTGATTTAATAGATTGCAATGAGCACCTTTAAGTAAGTATGTAAACTTTATTTGTGTAGCACTTTTTTTACAGTCAAGTAACCATAAAGTGTTTCACAATAAAACAGGAACACACACAACAAAGCATAAAAAAAACACACACTGGCAAATGATAAAGCATTAATAAGACAACATTGAAACTCATAGAATAAAGCCTGCTTTAAAAGATAAGCTTTCAGCTGCAATTTTACAAATCTCC